GTTGACAACCGTCCACCAAATCAAACAACAGGCCTCTCGCGCGCGCATGTCGAAATCATTTGAACGCCCTGGCACGCCTTCTGGGGGGGGGGCAGGGCCTCTGTCGAATAGTACCATGTGGGCCACTCGCGCGCGATGGCCGCGCGCATGCTTAAATCATTACATTACCTTCATCACCGACACGTGGGCACCATCATCGTCATCGGCGGGACCAGCATCGGCGCCGTCATTGGCCTTGCCGTCATAACCATATTTGTTGACATTACCATGATACCGCGCCCGCCCGAGTCACTGACTCGCACTGCAGTGCCCGCGGGCCGGCGCGGCGTGGGAGACGTGCTGTGAAGCCCCCGTTGGTCAGCGCCACCACGGCCGCGTCGGGTGCGCTAGATTGTCTGGCCGCCCCGCGCTCGAGCTTGCCTAGCGCGACCCTGGCGATGCGCCAAACAGCGCCAAACAGTCATCGCAATCGCAGCCGCATTGGTTGTGCAAAACCTGGTTGGGGGCTGGTGGGCTAGATCATTGGGCCAGCAGTGGAGTTGGCCACTCCAAGTTCCACAAGGTGTTTTTGTATTCAAGGGGTCATAGACCCCCCAGCATGTGTGCCTAAAAGGAACATGGAACCCCCGGCTTCATCGCCCCTCCCCCCCCATCTTGGGACACTGCAGGTTACGTGCGATTCTGCCCCATCGTTCACTTTAGATATGAGCAAAGTTTATACCGTCGCAGGGAGCCCTGTTACCAACTCCCTCTCGCCACTGTCAAATCTATGTATGTGCGCGCTCGTCCATCAACAAACTAGAAGCTTTTATTAGTGACCCCTAGCAGCAAATACGACGACGTCGACGCGCGCGACGTCGCCCGCGTGCCGGAATTCTTCAAACACCTCCGGTGAAGCAAACTTGCGCGCGATCTTGCGAATTCTCAGAAGACCAAAGAGCTGTCAACATTCGCACCAAATGAGACCAAACGGGTCTCTTGCGCACGCATGCTGAAAATCATTCGGACGCCCTTGCGCGCATGCTGGGGGGAGGGATTCCAGGGATGGGTAGGGGGGCGGGCGATCCTTGTCGCATAAAACTCCGCGGGCCGTTCGCGCGTCGGCGGCGCGCGCATGTCGAAGTCCTTCCAACACCTTCCTCGCCAACACGTGGGCACCATAGTGGTCGTCGGCGTGATCGGCATCGGCGCCGTCGTCGGTTCCGCCGTCGTCATCGTCACTATCGTCGCAATCATCACCATTGGAACCATCATCATCATCATCATCATCATCATCATCATCATCATCATCATCATCATCATCATCATTATCATCATAATCATCATCATCATCATCATCATCATCATCATCATCATCATCATCATCATCATCATCATTATCGTCATCAACATCATCATCATCATCATCATCATCATCATCATCATCATCATCATCATCATCATCATCATTATCATCATGATCATCATCATCTTAATCTTCATCTTCATTTTTGTCATCATTAGCTTTATTATTATCATAATCATGTTGTTATCCGCCGTTGTCGGCGTCGCCACGATTCCGCGTCCGCCCGAGTCGCCGGTTCGCTGCGAAGTGCCCGCGCGCCAGCGCGGCCTGGGAAATTCGCTGGGAAGTCCCCGGCGGTCAGCGCCACCGCGGCCGCATCGGCCGCGCCCAACAAGCTGGCCGTTGCGCGCGCGAGCGCCCGCGCGCCAACGCGTCCGCAAGGACGCGCCAGCCAACCAAATACTGATCGCAATCAATCGCAGCCGCCTGAGTCTTGTAAACGGAGTAGCGTTGGTAGGTGGGATGACTGCGCGGGCAGTGATGTTGGCCGTTCGAAGACCTTCAAAACTAATTGCACCGCGCAGACGGCCCAGCGTAGCGCGCACCACAAACTGCACCGCAGAGCGTACGCCTCGTATGATGTCCCCCTTGAGCAAGGAGCTCGGGCGTGCGAGGCCCCCCGGGTGTTATCGATCCACCGTGGGGATGTGCAGTTCACAGTTGATTCTGCCCCATCGTCCACTGCGATTAGGAACTCATATCTCCCAACCAGACCGTGCTCGACGCCCCCCTTTCTCTTGGTCCAATAACACTACGCGCGAACACTGCGTGCAGTCGTGTTCGCAATGCGTCGTCAGTTTGCAGGGCCCCCTTGCGAACGAAAAGGGCGAAGTGCACGCGCGCGCGCCGTCGGGCGCGCATGTCGCAAGCCGAAAGAGAAAACGCTCGATTTCAGAATCGATCGCCCCAAACATACTTAGGCCAATTCGGTTGTACAACATGGTTTTGTCAGAAAGTACGCGCGCTGTCTTGCGAATCCGTGAGGCATCATGGTTTTTCTACGTGCTGATCACATGCGGCCAAGCGGGCCTTGCGCGCGCATGCCACCCGCGCGCGTCGGCCGTGCGCGCATGTTGAATTATTTCCAGGACGTCACCAACACGTGGGCACTTCGATCGTCACCCGCGCGATCAGCATCGTCGCCATCATTGGCTTGGCCGTCGTCAGTGTCACCATCGCCACCAGCATCGCGACTATCAGCATCGCGTTTGCCGTTGTCGACGTCGCCATCATGCCGCCCCCGCTGGAGCCACCAATTCACATTGAAGTGCCCGCACGTCAAGGCGGCCTGCGAAACGCGCTGGGAATTCCCCAGCGGTCAGCGCCACCGCGGCCGGCCGACGCGCGACCCAACGCTGCGCAGTCATTGCAACCGCCGCCGCATAGGTTTCTCAAACCAAGCTGGGGGTGGGCAGAAGGGGATGATTGTGCGAGCACTGGAGCTGACAACTTCACTTTCGGCATGGTGAATCGCACCGCGTAGTTTGTTTATTTATTTATTTATATATATAAATGGTGGGGAAATAAGATCTACGATCCTCTCCCCCGGACTTATCGGTCCGCAGCGGGGATATGCAATTGACGTGCGATGTTGCCCCACCGTGCATTTAAAGATGAACGTGTATCACTCGAGCTTCACCACGTTCGCCACGCCCTGTCATATTGGTGAGATAAGTGCATGCGCGCACATTCGTTTATCAACAATCGTCCATGTGCAAGAGCTCTTTGTAACATGCGCGCGTACGTGTTGCAGTATTTTTTGTAATATACTATTGTAGCAGAATGGGACGAAGTGCGCGCGCGCGCGTCGTATCACGCGCATGCCGAAATCCTTCAAACTGGAGGCTTCGGGGGGGTCATCATCGAGTGTTTCCAATACGTTGTAACAACTATTTTTATGCAGCGTGGTGTTTCCGAGACGTATGGGGCGCGCTTCGGCGAATTCTCAAGACAACAGTTGGTTTTTGAACAGGACCATCATGTGCGACCAGACGGCCTTCTTCAGCGCTCACGCCAGAATCGTTAGAAAGCCCTTTGCGCGCGTGCTGGTGGGGTGCACGATCTCTCTGTCCAATAACACCATGCGGGCCACTAGCGCGCGTCGGGGGCGCGCGCGTGTCGAAGTCCTCGCAAAACTTTCATCAGTGGCACGTGGACACCATCATCGTCATCCGCGCGATCAGCATCGTCGCCGTCATTGGCGTTGCGGTCGGCATTGCTATCCTCGTCGCCAGCATCACTATTCTCATCATCGTGTGTGCCGTTGTCGACGTCACCATGATGCCTCTCTTGCCCGAACCACCGGATCGCATTGAATTGCCCACGCGTCAGCGCGGCCTGCGAGACGCGCCAGGGTGTGCCCGGCGGACACCGCCACCGCGGCCTCGTTGGTCGCGCCAGCGCAGCTGGCCGCACTGCGCGCGAGCCTGTGCCCGTTGGCGCGGCCGCAGCGGTGCGCCACCCAGCGCCAAGCAGTCGTCGCAATCGCCGCCGCATGGGTTTTTCAAGCCAGGTTGCGGCTGGGTGGGTGGGATGACTGCGCGAGCACTGGAGTCGACAACTTCAAATTCGGCAGGGCCTTTTGCACCACGCATCTTGCTAGAACACACTGTGTTTGGGGCCAGCTCTGGATAGCATCGTGAAGCCGCTGCAGAGGCGTAGGGCCGTCTGTGGTTCAAAATGGGGATCTTCTGTCAGAGCCGTGCGTATTGAATGAAACTCTGTAATAACCACCAGGATAAAAGGTCGTTTTTCTCGAAATGGGAATTTTGCTGAAGATTTTTCAACATGGGAATTATGCAACGGCTGCACGTGCGGAGTGCGTTTCCTCTCTGACATGGGATCGCTTGCAGGAGACTTCCTCGAAGTTCGCGGCCAGAGTTTTAACATTGGTCGGCACTTCGTCAAAGTCGGGGCCTCGCTGGGCAATTTTCTGAGCTGTACGAACATATGTTCGGTATTCCTCCGCATCCGCCATAAGAGTGCACGACAGTTCTTTTTCAAAATTGAGAGCTCGCCAAAATGGAAATCCCATCGGGTGCTGGGTGTTCACAGGGGCGCTTTTTGTATTGAGAGTGAAAGCTTGACTTCATCGTAGGGACTCGGGACGGGCGGATCTATTGCAGCATCGTTGATGCATCTTGGGCGGGCTTGCTCTGGTCCATCTCCTCCGTTCTCGTTTCCAGCCGCCGCCACCCCTTTTGTCCATCCCCCTCCTCTTCCACCCCTCCCTCGTTTTGCCTCAGGCAGCCCTGCAGAATGCTGGGCATCCACCCTGTGGCGGCCGCCAGCTCGGACAAGAACGTTGAAGCCTCGATCCTCGATCCTCGCCTCCTCCTCTTGCTCTTCCTCCTCCCTTCTTCCCCTTGTTTTCCTCGTCCTCCTCCTCCTCCTCCTCCCTCCTCCCCCCGCCTCCTCTCTGAGAGACCCAGAACTCCGACGCGATTTCTTCACAGCGTGGGCCCCCGAAGAGCTGGGCCCCCTCCCTGGTACCAGTTTTCTCTCGTCCCGAGTACTTTTTGGACGGTCCTGGGGCCCAGCGAGGGCCCTCGGAGGCCGAAAAGAGCTCCAAAAGCATCCCGTCTGTTTTTCGTGTGCTTTCTCACGGTGCGAGGTGCTTTTTGGGCTAGGATGGGGATTCCCAGGGCCACCCGAGAGGACCCCGCTGGTGGTCGCCGCCCAGGCGGGGCACCTTGCCGCCTGCCGCGCCCTGCTCGCCGCCGGCGCCGGCGCGGGCGAGCTGCCGGGGGAGGACCGCGGGGCCGCCCTGCCCCGCGGGGGAAGGGGAGGGGAGGGGAATTCCCTCCAGGGCGGGGGTGGGGGCTCTCCAGGGGCGGGGAGGGGGGGGGCCTCGAGGGAGCAGGGATCTCCGAAGCGGAGAGGGGGGGCTCTCGAGGGACGGGGGGGCCCTCGAGGGGGGGAAGGGGGCTCCCTCCTCGAGGGAGGGGGGGGCCCTCAAGGGAGGGGGAGGCCCTCGAGGACGGGGAGGGGCTCGAGGAGGGGGGGGGGGCGCTCGAGCACGCCCCCCCCCGCCACTCGAGCACCCGGGGCCCCTGCGGGCTCCCGGCCACCCGCATTTAAAGGCCTCCGCCAGCGGGCCTCCGCCGCCCCGCTGCACACAGCACGCTTCCGCCCGCCCTCCGTCGCCGCTGCTGCCGAGGGCGAGGGCACGCCGAAGGGGCACTGGAAGCCCTGAGGGCACCCCCCTCCTCGAGGGGCCCCCCCCCCCTCCTCGAGGACCACCCCCGCTCGGAGGTCCGCGCGGACTTTTCGGATCCGCGCTGGGCCCCCCTGGCGGCGTCCCTGGCGCCGCCCCTGGCGCGCTCCGCGCGCCAGCGTGGGGGGTCCAGCACCGATCCGAGAAATCCGCGCGGACCTTCGAGTTGTTATGGTCATGTCATTCTTCGTCCCCCTACTCGAGGGCCTCGCTCCTCCTCGAGAGCCCACCCCTGCTCCTCAGAGAGGCAGGGGGGGGCCCTCGAGGATGGGGTCAGAGGCAAGGGGGAGCCGTTACCCTGATGTCTAGGCCCCGAGGAGCGTGATGCGAAATAGACGCTTGGAGCGAGATGCGGAACATACGTCGGGGTAACATTCTCGTCGGTTTGGCCGCCGGCTCCGCAAGTATGTTGCGCATCGCACACATCGGAGCCGGCTTCGTCGGGCGATGCGCACCAGGGACATCATGCTTGCAGGGCGCGAGGAAGGCCCTGGCAACGAGGGAGCGATGGAGGCAGCACTGCCAGCGCTGATTGTGTCCCTCCCCCCTTCCCCTGCTCTCCTCCTCTCCCCCCTTCTTTAGAAGAAGAAGAAAAAGAAAAAGCATTATCTCCCCCCTTCTCTAGAAGAAGCAACAACAAGAAAAAGAAACAACCCTCCTCTCCTCTCCCCCTCGCTCCCCCCTTCTTTAGAAGAGTACAAAACACATAATAATAAACTGTTGGCGCTCCGTGCGGATTTCTTGGCTTCGGCGCCGCCCCTGGCGCCACCCCTGGCGCCGCCCCTGGCACGCCAGGGAGGGGGGCCCAGCGAGACTCCAAGAAATCCGCGCGGAGCTCCAAAAGTTTATGTTTATGTGTTTGTGTTATTCTTCTATTCTTTGGACCGCAAGACACAACTGTGAGCTCGTAGACGCTCGCGTGCTTTGAGTGGCATCAGCGCTGATCTCTCCACTGCTACTTTCATGCGAGTTGTCTACCAGATTTACTATTTCCCCCGTTGCCTGTAACAGGACACAGCCTCTGTGTCGATCGGGTGTAGCGCAGCGTAGCTTGGCCTCGAGGACCCGGGGGTGGTACCCTGAGACCCTGCCGTTGCAATTCTTGCTCGTCCCGCTTCCGGGGCCCAGGACCGAGGCAGATCGGTCCGACTTGAAGCATGCAGCAGACAGACGGGGTCTATAGGGAGCCAGTCGTGATCTTTCGCGATGTCGCACTTTGTTCGCAGCGCTGGATCGCAGGGAACGGGGAACGGGGGGGGGTCCAGCACAGTTCCAAGTTGTCGCACTGGACGTTTTCGCTCCACTTCGGGCTCCGGGGCCCTCACCGATCGGTCCGGCTCGAGGAGTGGCGCAGAATGATGAGGTTTCCAGCCGAATAGGACTGTGCACAAGCACCGGCCCTGTCAGAGCCCATCCTGGGCCCAGGATCGGTGCGCATGCCTCTCTGACCAAGACTGGAGGGTAGAACTGGCCAGGATCGGTGTGTTCTCCTGTAGGGGGGACGGGAGGAGAGGGGGGCCTCCTCCTCTTCCCCCGTCCTCCTCCTCCGCCCCCTCCTGGTGTACGACCTGCACGTGCTGTTGAATTCTCTTATTCGCCCGCTTGCCTAGCGTAGCTCCTATTCTGCGCGGGGCTGCTGCTGCCATCCAGTCCACCCACCTGCTCTCGCCAGGTATGGAAATTCGCCTGTGAAGCGCGGCCCGGCGTAGCACTTTGCAACGGTGCCGCCACTTCGCCGCTGGAGTAACAGGTGTAGACGTTTGTCATGGCTCGTTTTCTGTGGTATTAGGGATGGGAGGGAGGGGGGCAGCAGCGTCGCCAGGTATCGCGGCGCTTGTGGCGCTGGCTGCCGCGGGCTCCGCTCTCGTGCCGGGTGGTCGTTGGGCGATGATGATGAGGCTGATGATGATGATGATGATGATGATGATGATGATGGTGATGATGATGATGATGGTGATGATGATGATGATGATAATGATGATGATGATGATGACTATATTGATGATGATGGTGATGATGACGATAATGAGAATGATGATGGTGATGATGATGGTGATGATGATGATTGTGACGATGATGATGATGATGATGATGATGGTGATGGTGATGGTGACGGTGATGGTGATGGTGATGATGATGGTGATGGTGATGGTGATGTTTCTGTTGGTGGTTATAATGTTGATGGTGGTGATGATGATGATGACGATGATGATGATGATGATGGTGATGACGATGACGATGATCAGGAGGATGATGATGATCATGATCATGAGGAGGTCGACGTTGTTGTTGGTGCTGGTGGTGATGATCAGTACCATGACGACGGTGATGATAATGATGATGATAATGTTTCTAAAGATGATGGTGGTGATGATGATGACGATCGCAATGACGACGGTGACGATGACGATGATGATGATGCTGATGATGATGCTCATGGTGGTGATGATATTTTGTTGTTGGTGGTGGTGATGATGATGTCGACGACATTGGTGAGGACGACAATGGGGCAGCATAATGACAAAGACAGAGATGTTGATGCTGCTGATGTTGATGGTGATGACGATGAGCTTGCTTGTGATGATGACGATGATGATGATGGTGGTTGTGGTGGTGGTGATGATGCCGACGATGACGATGACAATGATGATGAAGATAATGCTGCTGCTGATGCTGCTGTTGATGGTGATTATGGTGATGATGATGCTGATGATCATGATCATGATGATGATGCTGATGATGATGACGAGGATGCTGATAATAATGATGATGTTGATGGTGATGATGGTGACGATGATGATGATGATGATGATGATGATGATGATGATGATGATGATGATGATGATGAGGATGAGGATGAGGATGAGGAGGAGGAGGAGGAGGAGGAGGAGGGTGAAGATGAGGATGAGGATGCTGAACATTTAATGTAAAGGTAGAAGCAGCCCAGGGCCTAAGTCGGGGCTTGCTGGCACACGTCCCTCCTCCCCCTCTCCTCCTGATCCCCCTCCTCCTCATCTTCATCCCTCCTCCTGATGGCCTCTCCGCCTCATCCACCGTTCTCTCGCGCGCTGCAGCGAGAGCCCCTCCGCTTCCCCCGGGATCTCAGTGAGGCGTGGTGCGAGATGCCGCTGGCGCGCTGCCCCGCCCAGAGCCGCGCTCGCGTCGTGAGCCGATGTCAGGGCCCTCCCCCTCTCAGAGGAGGAGAGCCCTGACCTCCGACGCCGCGACACCACGCAGCACCGCGAAACGATTCGACGGGAGCCTGGAGCCAGACCCCCGACGTCATGATTTGTTCATTACGTCGACCCCCAGCGGTCTGGACCCTTTCCCCATGACCGGCTTTGCATCCTGAGTCGTTTTTTGACGCTCCCGAGGCCCGGTAGGGGCCCCCAGAGGCCGAAAATAGCGAAAAACTTCTCGTCGTGATTTCTTCACGACGCGAGGGGGTCTGGGGAGCCCATTTCCTCTCCTCTGCGCCGCGCCTGCGAGCCGCCCGAACCGCTCCCGCGAGGGCACCCGGCGCCCGAGGCCGGGCGACGACGCCAGCTGCGAGAAGGCATGCGAGGCCGGGATCCCGCGGGGATCTCCTCCTCCTCCTCCTCCTCCTCCTCCTCCTCCTCCTCCTCCCCCTCCTCCTCCTCCTCCCCCTCCTCCTCCTCCTCCTCCTCCTCCTCCTCCTCCCCCACCCCCCCCCCCCCTCCTCCTCCTCCTCCTCCTCCTCCTCCTCCTCCTGGCGGATCCCCGGATAGGTCGATGGTTCAAAGATTCGACGGGCGAAGAACGGCATAAACAAACTTTTTCGCCGTCGGGGACACACCTGCCCCAGGGCGGCTGGAAAGTTTATATCCTTACGGTGGCACCGTAGGGGTATAAACTCTCCAGCCGCCCAGGGGCAGGTGTCCCCGACGACGAAAAAGTTTATTTTAAACCGTTCTTCGCTCGCTGAAAGATGTCGGGGGCGGAAAAGAGGAGGGTGATGACTAGGGGGGGGTGGATCTCCTGGCGGGGGCCATGACAGTTCCCCAGATGTTCCGGCGCCTCTTCTGATTTCATGACGTCCCTGGCCCCCCCCAGCTGGGCCGCACACATGCCGCCGGTCATGATTTGCACCCCCCCCCTCTTGGACACCCCCCTCATTGGCCGCTCCCGGTGAGGGATGGGGTTTTATCTAGGCCTCCCAGATGGGGTCCGAGTAGATGGGGTCGGAAGATCGCGTCGCATCGCCGATGCATCGGCGATGCGGCTCGATGCGGGGCCCGATGTTCTTCGCGCCGGCGTCGCCGATGAAGCGCCGACGTCGACGATGCATCGCCGGTACATCGCCGATGCCTTGCCGATGCGTCGCCAATGTATCGGCGATGCGGTTAGGAGGCCTCTATCTTAAGGACGAAGTGCCTCAAACAATGCGAATTTATCCTTGGATCCCCTCCTATCCTTAG